TATGGAGATAGGGACGAAAGTAAGAAGACTGCAGATGGTACGGTCGGCAAAGCGCATGACGAGGCAGAAAATAGACTCTTCGGGAACATCATTATCGGAGTTGGCAGTGTGCTCTATGGGTTGTACGAGGTGCTCTACAAGAGATATGCTTGCCCTCCAGAGGGCACGAGTCCCGGCCGGAGCATGATCTTTGCCAACACTTTTGGCAGTCTCATTGGGTGTTTCACCCTTCTTGTTCTCTGGATTCCTCTGCCCATTCTCCATATCCTGGGCTTGGAAACGTTTCGCTGGCCTACTGGTGAAGCTGCATGGATGCTTATGATCTCTGTCCTTGCTAATGCTAGTAAGTCTTACTGTCCTAATCTCTTCTGACCCATGACGTCGAGAGTACGTGCTAACAAAGTGTTCGTCAAATTAGCATTCTCCGGCTCCTTCCTGGTTCTCATCTCCCTCACTTCCCCCGTCCTCTCATCTGTAGCAGCGCTGCTTACCATCTTCCTCGTCGCCATCGCCGACTGGCTCCGAACCGGCCAGCCCCCCTCCGCCGCGGCTATCATCGGCGGTATCCTTATCATTGGTGCCTTCTTCCTGCTAAGTTGGAGCACATACCGAGAAATGAACGAAGAGCGCAAGAAGAGCATGGCAAATGACCAGTCCGAGTCCGACCTCGATGAATAGACATCGCTTTATTAGACGGGATCTATATACCCTTCCTACCCGCTGGTGGAGTCCTGTGTTGTTTTCCATTGGTCGCGCGGATCGATCTATGGCTTTATCATCTCATATCGGTTGCCTTCATCTGTGTATATGCATTTATCAGGAGTACTTTTCACACTTTGTTTCTATAGTATATAGAAAGATATAGACTTGGGAGGAACGGTTTCGGCTTTAGTTGTACTATTGAATTATAAAAGTCCCCAATCCGTGCTAGTATGTCGAAGTAATGAGCTAAACTTAGCAATATTGTATTGTTTACTAAGAAGGAATTGACCGATCGTAATGAGGAAAAGATAGACATACAAGCCAGCTGAATTCGGTCATTCGTTCACATACTAGATGACATGACATGACACCAAGCCGGACGTTACTTAACTCAATCTCCCCGATACGCCAGAAAAACTGTAATTGTATGTACGTAGTATGGAACAAATGACGGAGCTATGAAAATAGAACATGAGGAAGGAGGGGTGGGGGATAAAGGCTGCTCGGGGAAGGCGTAAGATGGAGGCAATTTTGTTCAGTTCGCAGCGCGGGAAAATGGAATCCCCGATACATGGTAAGTAATGATAGGTAGTCTGTAGGTAAGGTTGAAATGAAATATACAACGTATGTACTGAATGAAAGAGACAATTATCTAGGGCCGAGCTTGGCCAGGGCACGTGCACCCTGTTCCTGCCACTCTTGCTTGGTAACCCACATATCCTCCTTGTCGGCGATCTGGCGATTGTGTTAGCGGTGGTGTGTCTCGTGAACAGACGAATAGGTATATAGGGGGAGATAGGAAGAATAGGAGGCCTACCAGGTTGGCGAGGACGGCACCTCCCAGGAAGACCATGTGTCTTCGTCGCGGCGGGTCCTCGATGCGCACCTTGAATTTCTAGATTATGAAATTAGCTTGTGAATTCTTCTGGTAGAGAGCTGTCCACCAGCGAGTGAGAATACGTACGTTCAACCTCTCCGGGTTGCCTTGCAGGACCCGTGTGAGCCACAATTGCTTGAGCTCCTTCTCCAACCGGGAAGGCAGACCGGGGTACATGCTGCTTCCTCCACTGAGCACGATAGCCTTGTAGAGACTGGAGCGCACGTCGACATCGGCGCCCTGGATGGTGTTGAAGAGCAACTCGGCGATACCGGGTTGGTCGACATCCACCAGGTGCGGCTGGAAGAGACATTCGGGGGCTTCAAAGCGCTCGCTGCCGACGCGGATGACGCGACCATCAGGGAGGGTGTAGGACTCGACAAGAACGGTGGTGTCTTCGGAGAGCTTCTTGTCCAATTCGAGATCGTAGGACACGTAGCAGAGCTTCTCCTTGATCTGGCGCACGGTCTCGAAGTCGGCGGTACGGTTCAAAGCATAACCGCGACGGAGCAAGAGGGCGATGAGGTTACGGGTGACATCACGACCGGCGACATCAAGTCGGCGAATGTGGTGGTTAAGGACTGTAGATTCGTAGACGGGGATAATGTGGGTGACACCGTCACCGGAGTCAACGACCACACCACTGCTGAGACCTGCGGGATGCGAAAGAGCGGGCGATCAGAGCTGTGGTCTAAGAGTGCCTCAGAACATAGAGCGTGCAAGACTTACCCTGGGCGTATAGTGCAAGCACAGCTTGAATAGCAACGTATACACCTCCAAAGTTGTAGCCTTCCAGCATAACCTCAGCCATTTGCTCCCGGTTCTTCAGGGGATTCATGGGGGGTTCGGTCAAGAGGATCTTGCGGCCCGTAGGATCGATCTTCATCTTCTCGTAAAAGGTGTAGTTCCATAGGTGTTGCATGTCATCCCATCTCTTCACGATACCATTCTCCATCTGTATACCAAGTCGGGCCCAACGTTAACACGTCTGCCACACCTCCGGGGAGACAACGGAGCGATCGGGGGTAGAACGAAGGCACGCGAATAAAATGACGTACAGGGTAGGTGATTTGCAGCATAGATCTGGCAGCAGCAGCTTCATCTCCGCACATGATATCCTTGACGACAATGTCGCCGGCCTGCTCCTCCGTTCGCAATATGGGCCGCCCCACTATCGAGGGGAACTGGTGCTCGGGGAAGTTCTGTTCATGGGCGGAAAAGGAGAGGTAAGTAAGAGTAGGCAATGGAAGAGAGAGAGTGACAGACCTGCGCAGCATATCCGACCTTGAGGAAACCAGTTCCTCCGTCGAGCACTGGGGGGGCGGGCGTGGTTGGTTAGCTGGGAAGCACGGGAGGGACAGGCACCGACAAGGAGAACTTGGGGGAGGGGGGTAGAGGGAAGGGAAGGGCAGGAAGAGGAGGGGGAAGACGCATGAACATACCAATGGGCATATCAGCCATGGTGAAGGATGTAGATTGTTAAGACGTAGCAAGATTGATCAATTCCGGAGGGGTAAAAACAAAAGGAGCATGGGAGATGACGTCCAGAGAGCGGTAGGCTGGACGGGGTTGGGAAGCAGCAGTCAGTTAGTACGGAGAGTAAGTCTACGGAGTACTACTAATCGTCAGTCTGGCCTGTCTTTGGTTATGAGTGGGTCCGTGACCGTCTCGTGTGGTCGGCCTGAGGCGGTGTGTTTGTCTCTTTGGATGCCTGCATGCCTTTATGCCTGATGGCCTTGTAGCCTTAAGACTGGTATCGTTTCAACAGACAGGTCTGTCTCATAACCAACTAGTAAACCTACACACATGGATCTCGCGAGAAAAGCTTTAAACAGATCAATTGATTGTTACCCACTTATTAGCCACTCCAAGTAACCACTGACATCAAAATATACAACAATCAAGGAACCCTCTAGTACTTCCATAAACAGCAGTAGTCGATCTTAGTGCTGTGCTTAACGACCGTAGCAAGCTCCCCGGCATCGGGCCCGCCCGATAGTATCAACGAAGTCTATTTACAACCACCGACGTATATATAGTCCCCAAAACACCCGCTCAATCCCGTCTGGCATCTTAGACACACTCGATTACTCCAGCTCAACATACATCATGACACAAATCGGTTGGGTACGTTATTATCAACGGATAAGGAGAATCTATCAGGTCAAGAACTAACCCCAATGCCAACCAGTTTGGCCTCGGCTCCATGGGCCTCGCCATGGCCAGCAATCTCCAAAGGCATCTGGCCCGCAAGACAGGCCCGTGTCTCATATACTCCAACCGAACCATCTCCCGAGGTGACCCCCTCAAGAAATTAGGCGGTACACCCGCAGACAACTTCTCGAAGCTTGTCTCGCAATGTGGGATTATCTTCACCATGGTACGCGACCTCTCTCGAGGAAGATGCGCAACAGCATCATCAGGGCCCAAAAGGACATCAATACTAAAAAAGAGACAGGTGTCCAATGACTCTGTTCTGCAAGAGTTGGTCACCACAGCTATCAACTCCGGCCACTCCCTCAAAGACAAGATCTTTGTTGACTGCTCAACCGTTCTCCCAGAGACTGTGGGCACAGCAGTCTCGAAGCTGAAGGAGAAGGACGCGAAATTCCTATCGGCTCCTGTTTTCGGGGGCAACCCCATCGCTGTGGATGGGAAGCTGGTCTTCGCCATCGGAGGGCCCAAACAGGCGGCAGAGGTGGTAAAGCCGTTCATCCAGGACGTGATGGGGAGAAAGGTGATTGATTGCGGAGAGGATGCTATGAAGTCTTCGCTTTTGAAGATTGCGGGGTATGTTGAATCTACCACCTCCAACTTGTATTGGATATAGGGGATGCGAATTCTTGCTAACGGGTGTATTTTTGTTGTCAGAAACATCGTCACAGTGAACTTGATGGAGGCGGTTGGTGAAGCGCAGGTCTTTGCGGAGAAGACGGGCTTAGGTACAGGGCCCATGGAGGATCTTATCGGAGAGGCGTTTGGAGGTGTGGCTGGGGGGTATTCTAAACGGTGAGCGTGCCAATTATGTTGGATGTTGACTATCCATCTTTATGGTACATCATGGCTGACACTGGTAGGTTGACGACTGGTGCCTATGCACCGCCCTTGGACTCTCGCCCCGGATTCGGGGTGTCTCTGGCCATTAAAGATGCAAGGCACGCGTTTTCCATGGCGAAGGAGCATAACGTGGAATTGCCGGGGTTGCAGGTTTCTCTTGATAACATGGAGGCTGCCAGGGAGTATGCGGGCGAATGCTTGGACAGCAGCTCCATGTACGGCTATCTGCGGCAGAGGGCAGGCCTGGAGTTTTGGAACGAAAAGAGTCGTCAGGGAAACTCTCAATAGATTAGACTAGATATATGTGACTACTCATGTTGATCTCTTTCTAGATGGGCGAAACCAGTAGTTACATTGTCCTATTTAATAATTGATATAACCGAAGATCTTCATCAGGCATTCAAATGGTCAGGGATATGAAAGCCCTTCCAGACAGATACCTACTGTCGGACTGTCCTCCTGCCCGCAGTCTGTGACATGCAACTACGTGGTGGGGAGTTTGAAACCCCTCCATACAGCCCTCCATTAAGGCAGGTTCGGAGCTTAAAGGCCGTCCGGAATTTTGACCTTTTTCGGATGGTTCCCGTGATGCAAATGTTCACGCAGGACCACCATGTTCTCAAAAGCATGCAAGGCCAGTAGAATAGGATTGATAGACTTTTGCCTGACAGCCTGACAACTTGAGCAAATCTCGAGATAGTTGTCAAATTTCGGCCAGCGTAAGTCATGGGCGACACGATTTAGGGGGTACTGTACGAGACGGATGTGTCAGGAGAAGAAGACCACTGTAAGCAGTCCTAAGATTCAGCTCAACTTTTGTATGCTGTCTCGGCCAACGAAATTGACCACCGTTAGCCAGCACCACTGGGGCACCAAGTACAGCGAGAGGTGACTGAAGAGGCGAAGTAGATAAACTCCAAAGTCGAAAACAGCTTGTCATGCCCAACGTCTAAGTCATGAAGATGCAGCATCTAACTTGATCGATGACAAGCGATGGCTGATAATCCGTCTGCATTAGTGTGAAGCTTTGATCCTTGTGGTTTCGACCAAGGAAGGATAGGCTTCCGCAAAAGCGGGCCCCAGCGACCAGTTACTGAGATTGCGGAAGTGTCTTTCAAAGACGGGATTGACCATAAGCTCGTCGCCGTCACCGGAAGACAAAAGGCAGTCTGTCGCTTCATAGGGCCAATTCACAGATAGCGTACGTGTGAAGGGAATAAACCAATTCTCGAAGGGGTAATCCTGGTACGACATCACCAGGCGATCTCGCATTCGCGGCCATAGCAGATAGTCAATCCAAGCTGGATGGGCTGTGAGAAGCTGCGACGGGCGAGGAGTGAGCCACTCGGGCAACCGGTCATAATTTTCAGGGGTCGGATAAATCTGCCACCGCATGAGCAGGAACATGAGAAACAGTACAGCCACTTGTTCTGGGAGGGTTGAGATATCTGGGAAGGTCCGCAAGATGTCGGTGAACACTTTCGACAAGGGATGCGAGTAAACACTTTTCTCTGGATTGAGGAGGGAGGAGACGCTGGGGTAAGAAGGTCCGACTAGGCTCTGCTTTGAAACCCCCTTCGCTGCTTGGTGCTGTCGATTATGAAGAAAATCCAACAGAATGGCGTCCAGCGTGCATGTCGGAGCGACGTTGCGAATTGGGGTCAGGTAGGCAGGCAGTGGCTGTTCTGCCATAGAAGGATGAACACCGGATGGGTAGGTTGGCGATGGATTCGACGATGGCCTCAGTGTCTCTGATGAGCGTCGAAAGCCCTCCACTTTGGGGACCTGCTGCGACGCGTCAAGCAGGAAGTTAAAGCCCATTCGTTCATCAGTCCCGCCAAAGTCCAGACCGTGAGCCAGGTTGTGTCGCTGGTAGTCGAACGCAATGCGGAAAGAAGCTGGGCCTGTCGCTGTTATCTCACGGTGTCCCGTACCGGACGCAAAGGCCGCATGTGCGGTGGAAGAAGATGCCTCGGGATTCGTAGCGGACTCTGCAAACGGGTGCTCGCCAGGGGCTGACCTCTGGGTATTGGCTGAGAAACGGAAGGCATCGGACAACGGCGGCGTCGATGTTATTGGGGGGATTCGATTGTTGGTTGACGAAGGCGTCGCGGTCAAAGTATCTGGAAGAATAAACTGTTAATACAACTGTTTCCCCGACAGACTACGTAGTTGTTATGGGAACATACTCGGCTTCTCTTGTTGCCCCAACAAAGGCTGAATTATATCGATGATCGCTTTCAGTCCATGTCGGATCTCCCGATTCTCTGCTTGGATGACTTCATTTTGCCTCAAAGCCGCCTGAAGATCCAAGAAGGGCTTCTGCGACGAAAGATCTCGGACTCGTTGTTCCAGGGAATCGATATGAGCTTTCGTCCTTTCGCGAATGGCGCGCTGGGCCTGCCGGTCGTTCGCGCGCTTCTTCGCCAACTGCTCAGGGGTGAGATTCGCTACACCACGCGCTGAGGTACAGTTAAGCTTGCGTTTGCGACCTGCGCCTGTTGCCGGTGTTCCACTGTTATCCGGTGCGGGTGTTTCTGCGTCCGCGGAGGTCAATGCGGATGGTGTGGGGGAGTCCTCCAGTTTTACCACATCGGACCCGGGAGTGGCGACCGGGGCGGCGGTGGATGGGCCTTGAACTGTCGAGGGTGTAACAGCAGCAGCAGCAGCCGCAGCGGACGGGGAGAAAGAGGCGGAGGGAATTGAGGAGGATTCCGGATTCGCTGAAGCAGCGACATCGGTTAGAGGAGGAAGGCGGGTGGCCATGGCCTCACTCGCAGGCTACTACAGGAACGCAGCGGCCATGCAACACGACGGGTAACGAGCACAAGCAAAGCGGATTAGGATCCCAGACACAATTCAGGGGATCTGGGGTTCACTGAAGGATGGTCAGGGTGGCATCGAGAAGGAAAGACAGGAGAGATAAGAATAAAAGGAGCAGCCGATCCGGTCGAGTAAGGACTGGCACCAGGACCGGCGAGTCATTTGAGGGGGGCAAGAGGAGAAAAATAGGGAAATGATCATTGGGGAAAGGCAGCCTTCAGCAACTTCAAGTTCCTCTGGTCGGAGGAGGATCAGTCAGTCTGGTTGGCTGCGGTGGAGTTGCCCCAAAGTCAATAATCGGCACCACGTTTTGCCTTTTTTTTTCTACCCTGACGGCACAGGCAGACAAGAAACAAGATTCTTGCAGAAATGCCAGGCCACGGCCGAGCCGGAGTGCCTTAGTCTTTTGCGGTGCTCTAAACTTCCATAGTTGTGGCGTTGCTCCGCTTTCTGTCCCGCGCACCCCGAAAGAGACAGCAAAAAAGTCCCTCGCCAAGGGTTCTGGATCCTAGAGCTATAGCACTAGATACTAACTCCCTTCGCCATAAATCGCTGAATCGGTGGATCCAAAAGCTACGGAGCAATTGTCTCGGGTTGTCGGCACACGATCTCATGACAGCTCATTCTCAATTGGTTTATCCTTTCACTTTTGGCGTCATTCAGATGGTATCAAAGTCAAAAGCTTGTCCCGGTATCCACAATCCTGGTGATGCCTAACCACAGTAACCAGACCAGTGCACCAGATTGGTGAGAAAAAGAACGCAGACAGATATCACTCCGTCCAAAATAGAAATTCGGAAACAAATAACAGAGGTACAGGTGTACCGAGGGACAATGATAAACTCTTGGATCATAAAATCAGTTCATAACTGTACAGCATTACCGAGACCCAACCCGAGGCCTCATATAATACACCCATTCGACAAACTGCTATATAGTGGGTGAAACAGACAAGTGAGGGAATGCAACCAAAAAGAAAAGTAAAAAAAAAAAAGAAAAAGAAAATACGTGAAATGAGTCTAGCGAGTTTATTCAATCATGTGTCCCATTTTCGCGATCTATTTGGACCCAAGAAAGTTAGCATACCTGGCCGGAGCAACATAACAAAAGTACCACAACCGAGGCAGAGCAAAGAAAAAAAAGAAAAAAAAAAAAAAAAAAAAGAGCAACAACCACCAGTCTCGGAAAAACCAGTTGAACAGTGACATGGTGAAACAAGCAAAACTTACCTTTGTCCTGAGATAGCCCTCTACTTCTAGACTTTTGATGCCCTGCTTTCCCCCCGACCTCCATGCCAAAGGTATCATTGGCACACGCTCCTTAACCGCCACCTCACGATTTGCACCCTCAATGGCGCGAACCTTGTCCGGGTTATTCGTAAGAAGTCGGATGCCGTGAGGATTGGTATCTACACCTAACCCAAGGTCGACTAGGATCGCCGTAGCCAGACCGTAGCTTCTCGCGTCAGCAGGGTGTCGCAAGAGAAGGTTAGCCTCTACAGTGTCGGAGCCAAGATCCTGCAAGTTGTAGGCCTTGAGCTTCTCCCCCAGTCCTATTCCGCGACCCTCTTGCCGCAGGTAAACAATCACCCCGCCAGACGCATTGGAAGGCACCGGAACAGCTTGCTGGGAAGCCATTTCACTTAGAGTCTCCATGGGGAAGGACATCAACCTGGCTGCTTCGTCTAGTTGTTCACCACAATCGCAGCGCGCAGACCAGGCGGTCTCTCCGGTATAGCATTCGGAGTGTATCCTCACAAGTGGCGCTTGACTAGGTGAACTCTCTGTCGCAGTTGACCTTTCTGATGATACAGGTCCACCGTCACCAGCTGCACCCTCAGCGTTTCCATCATCATACCAACTGCTCACCCGACCGGGATGCAATGTGCCCACATAAGCTCCACGTATCATACGATCCATTTCCGTTTCCCCTGGCCGGACCTTGTCCAGGCTCCGACTTCGAATAGTGTTTCCAAACACAATTGCCAAGTGCTCTTTGTTGTCCAAGTTGTTGTGATAGAGATGGAGAAACATCTCCGCGCCGGTGGTGGTGGGAATCCGTGCGCGAACGATGCATTCGACTTCGGGAAGGCAAGGAAGAAGTTTCGGAGCTTTAGTTTGTGGTAACTGTTGAGTCTGTTGAAGCAGTTTTGCTGGATTGAATGTACCACCGGGGGTAGCTGGAGGGGTAAAGGAAGGCGAGAGGAGGGAGGCAGGCACGGCGGGGGTTACATCACCCCGATCGCTATCTGCGCTGTCGGACTGGGCGATAGCATTGTCACGAAGCTCGTCTACTCTGCTATCTGAGGGCAGAATCGCTGTTCGATCTGTGCTAATGGAGAGTTCTTCCACAGGGTGGGAGGGCGCATCTTGCGCCACAAAGGTTGGGGAGGCGTGGGAAGGTAGGTTCGACATGATGGCCGCGGATAACAACGCGCAGATAGATGGATAGGTAAAGAAGGAGCAGGTTGTATGGCGAAGAAGTTGCGGACGACCCTGACAATAGGTTGTGGACAAGAAATTATAACAGTGAGACGGCGAAAAAGGAGGACATTATCATAGGAAGTAGTTGTAAAGTATCACCATTGCCGTGGGATGACCATGGGCCAGTTATCCCGCACTTGCTCTGTTTCGGCGCCGCATGTGGTTTCGGACCCTCGGGACCAACTGCGGCTTCGGCGGTGGGGGTACTCGCTGACTCACCCACCCATTTGTCAGGCCTGACACGCCTTATGTAATTCTTACTGCAGAGGAAGCTTCTGGACCGGTTATCTAGTTGGTTAGTTCTGTCAGAACTAAGTACGTACCTAATGGATACTAGGTGAATATAGGAATAATACGACAAACAATAACAGTAGCAAGTAGGTTGAAACCCCCATCTATGCAAGGAATTTAAAGTAAATGACACACGATAACTAGGTAACTATTACTATACCTCTCCAACATAACCAGCCAATTTGTGGCGATCATCCCACTCTTCAAAGCAAACCGAACTCCGTAAATCCCGCCTCACCCGCCAAATTGAAACATTCCAGCTCAATGAATGGGTATCAAAATATAGTGCAACCGACCATGGTGCAAATCTCTTCTTCGTTTTGGCCCTGTTTCCCTGTCCATCCTTTCTTTTCACTCCGTCTTTTGTGCCTTGCCCCTGTCTTGTTCGCCTGCCCACTTGGGGGCAGTTTCATACTCTTACTGGCGCTGTCACTTGAGGGGAAGACAGCGCTCCGTAGATCTCTCGTAGTGTAACATTGACATCCCAAGGCTGGTTCTACTTCCCAGGTATATCGAGTACAAAGCGTCGATCTACCTCCATCTCTTTATCATCTTCTTCGCCCTCAAACTTGAGACGGTAGACATCCTTCTTGGAACCCATGACTTCCGCACGATAGAACGTGGTCGTGTCTGGATATCTCGCCAAAACTTGCTTCCCTACAGGGAATGATGGCAAGGCTGACCCCATCTGGGGAATGGGGATCAGAGATGCGGCAGTGGTTTTGTAAACAGCTCCCTGTTCACCGTTCTCGTTTGGCTCCGGGTCCTGCACGTCATACCTTGAAAGATACATCGGTCAATGATCCTGTGGAAGTGGACTGGGGCGTCACGCCGTACCGTTTTTTCACTCCATCCCCAGAGATCCCCTTGATAATGCACTGAATGCCCTCGCCTTCGACCCCTTGTTTGTTCTTGTTGTGTTTGAAGACAACCTCCGCCCCAACCACCAGGTGTCCGCTGCGCTCTGCAAGGGTACCCTTGGTACCCTCGGTGCCTTCTTCTACTTTAACATACACACCGCTGTCGCGGATGTCGCGGCTGTCACGGACCTGAGTGCTGGAAACACTGGTACTACGCTGAACGCCGCCTTTCGTGCGACCGACCTTATCTGGCAAGGCCGTAGTGGAGGGTCCAGGCGAGTCAGTTGCTGACCCATCCAGTTCATTGCGCTTCTTCCGCGACTTGGAAAACGTAGCAGCGCGATTTTGAGGGGCCTCCGCTTCGGAGGCCTGTCGAAGTGCGGTCAGGAGACCCAAGTTCTTGATAACATCGCTAGGCTCATCCTGCAGAATGGCTCTCTCATCGTCGCACAGCTTTGACATTTGTCGATAGACACTATCGAGCTGATCGTGCTCGCTGAGAGAAGGTTCTGTTTCGGCGGTCAGCATTCATGATCTCCACAGCAAGTAAAAGCTATAAAACAGACAAGGCAAAACGAGGACATGATGGCAAAAAGCAAGATAAGGCCAACCGCTAGGAATATTAGCCTGACAGTCAGGACACGATAGTTAGAAGGCCTCGTGCAAAGTGTAGAACGGAATTAAGCAAGAAAAGCCCCAGTGTCATAGCACATTCAGCGAATCGGGCCATGATCCATTCTTTGCAGGGCATGCGGTATGTGGGTAGGGCGGATTAGAAAGGAAGATTTATATGAGACTTACTTCCACCCTCTTTACCGATCTTCTCGTTCAAGGCGGCGATCTGATCTGCCAGCGTCTTCTGCTTGTCATTCTTCTCCTTCGCTTTGCGAAGGTCCTGGAGGATCTTGTTCCACATGTCAGTCTCTTCATTGGCCGCCAGTCCGTTGTCCCTGGGGACTGGGGGACCTCTAGGCCGATTCCGGGACATTTTCTTGGGTTTCTTGGAAGGTGAGCTCTGGTCCCTAGCTGTAGCAGCAGCAGCAGCAGTCGTAGTAGCCCTTAGTTGGCTATTCCTGGTTTTAGCCGAGGTTGCAACGGGGGCGGAGTCTCTCGATTTCTCGATAGCTAGAGCCTCCCATTCAAAGGCGGAAAGGATATCCTGCCGGGCAGAGCTTCGAGTACCACGGGCAGCACCTTGTCTGAGGTTGTGGGGACGAACAGGAGAGGCACTCTGAGGCTTTGCAGAAAACGGATTGTCCGGGGTGGAAAACCTGTTGGGCCCGACTGATTGGGACGGAGGAGACACGGGAACCTGAGCTTCAGGGACCCCGTCATGCTGAGCATCCGACTGCGAAGCTGTTCCTTGGGCGGAAAGCTTCCCTTCGCGGCTAGTCGGTAAGCGCTTTGCGCCCCATGGGACTCTTTGATTGGCAG